TTGGAACGGCGGGCGGCAGGTGGGTCCCTCCGCGGGGCGAACGCGGGCGGCGGGAGGCCGGGGCGCTCAGGAAGGGAGGAGAGGGAGCTGTGGCGGCCCTGGGTCGAACTGGTGGTTACAGATGTCACTTTAGGGTCACCCCCTCTCGCCGTGTCGCTAACCGGGACCCACCTCCTGGTTTGGATGGAAAGTCCACAGGATTTTAGGGCCCACGCCCACCGGACCCCAGCCCTTTGAAAGCAGGGCTCTTGCTTCTTGGTCCCCAGAGTCCCCGAGCAGTGGGCAGGGGCTGGGCGGGGGCGTTGGCGTGTCCGCACTGCCCACTGGGTGACTTCACGGCTGCATCTCCGCACCAGAGAGGGTCACAAAGCGCAGAATAAATTGCCGGGGATGCTCCCACCCAGCGCCACCGCTCATTTGTGGGTGAGGGTCCTCCAGTCTTTATTCACTTGTGCTCTTTGCCCCTTGCATCTTTCTTTTTAAACCATTTTTTAGAGACTCGGTTGATTTGCAGTGAGCTGCATGCATTCAGAGCGCACTGTTGGATGACATTTCGGCATAGAATACAGAAGCACCTCACACATTTCACACCCAACCGCCTGCCTGCACTTTGTGATCTTGGACTTGTTCTGTTACATTTCTTCTACATTCTCCCTCCACCCAGCAGAAAGTTCAGGGTCTCCTATGAGGCCACTTTACAGACTCAGCGCTGAGCAATACCAAGAATCCTGCCCTGGCCCATGTCAGGACGGGCCGCTGCAGTCCCCCCACCAAAGTCCTGAGCGCCCATCCGCCCCCCCCCTTCCCCACCCCAAGTTTTAGTCTGTCAGTGTCTGTCGTACTGATTACAGAGTGAAGCTAGTGGAAGTCCTGGCTGCCCTGCCCCTGCCCACACCCCAGGGCACCGTTTTTCTCCTCCCTTCCGGAGGCTCCCTTTGTTCACCACGAAGCTGGAACCTGCTCTCCCCTTCCCAGGGTCCAAATCCGGCACCCACCTCAAACAGCACCCATCCCATTGCTTCGTCCTCCAACAGGTGGGTTTTCCCCCTTTTAAAACCTTCCAGAGCTGAGCGGTCCAGTGCAGCAGCCCCTGGCCTCGCGTGCTAGGGAGTGCCTGAAAAGTGGTCCAAACCGGGATGTGCCATCCGTGTAAAATCCGTACCAGTCTCCAGAGACTCGGTGTGTGTGGGGTGAGGGGACAAAATATTTCTTTAATATCGTCTATATTTGTTATGGTGTTAAAATGATATTTTGGCGCTCTTGGGTTAAACTGTTAGCAACGTTAAAGCCACCTGTTTCTTTTCATTTTTTTTACTTTCCAACATGGCTACCAAAAAGAAGTTACACACATGGTGTACGTTACACTTCAGTGCCTTCCGTGGCATTTAGTCTTTGGGCAAATAGATGTCCCACTCCTGCTCTCTTAGCGTTTGTCATTTTCTGTTTCCTGTCTGTGGCTTTAGCTATTTCTTAAATGGGGTGAGCAACTCAAAGGATTTAGCCAAGGGCTTGGTGTGTTGTAATTGGTGAATTCGTGTTAGCTGTATTTTTTTCTTAACAGACTTAATTTTTTGAGAGCAATTTCATGCTCATGGTATAACCGAGCAGGAGGCACAAGGACTTCCCATATAACCCTTGCCCCCATGTGTGCGCTGCCTCCCACGTTACCAGCAGCCCCCACCTGAGCGGGTGTCTGTGACAGGGGTGAGCCTACACTGTCACATCGCTGTCAGCCAGTGTCCGTGTGCGTTAGGGTCCCTCTGGGTGCCGTGCGTGCTCTGGGCCTGGACAACTGTATACGGATGTGTATCCGTCATTTCATCACACAGAGCAGTCTCACTTCCCCAGAAACCCCCGGGCCCCACCTGTCCAGCTCTCCCTCACAAACCCCCCCACCCCGCAACCGCCGGCCCTTTTGCTGGCCCCATAGCTCTGCTCCGACCTTTCCAGAGTGTCCCAGCGTTGGAACCACAGCGTTGCCCTCTCAGAAAGGCTTTTCCCGCTTCCCCGTGGTGATGCGCCTTTACGGTTCCTTGTGTCTTTCCGTGGCTTGGTCGTTTACTTTTTACTTCAGCCTCCCTGAAGGACAGACTGTCTTTATCATCTTTAAACTCTCGAGCATGGTGTTCGCACACCAGGCGCCCCAAATAGCTGCGACAAGTGGAGTTCTAAGTTCGCCTCTCTCAGCAAAAGCAGAAGTGGTTATTTTAGTCCCTGAGGGGGGTTCGCGGAAGTGCTGTTTCAGTTCCAGGACTTTTTAGATGATTCGTATTCCTAACAAGTTTAAGGTGGTCTGTTTCATGTGTGATGGCGTTCCAGAGCCAGCCAAGTTCATGGGAAAGTCAGCCATTAACTATCATCCCATCCCAGGAGCTTCTCTCCCTTTCCCGGGGCTTCTCGAAATGGAGGTTTAACAAAAATTCCCCAAGCAGCCGGCCTGGAACTTGGGTTTTTACTCTGGGAAATTTTGGACATGCCCCAGCTGGTGAGCCCTGTTCCTGACTTCCTGGAATTTCGAGGTTGAGATTGCTTAAGCCAGAGAGGCGAATCCAACTTCAGGAACTGGGTTCTGGGAGGGAAGTGGTCGTTCCTGCAGCTCCTTAGTCCCAGATGAGACGCCTGGGGCGAGTCATCCTCTGTGGGGGGCCATTCTGTGCACTGTGGGGTGTGGCGCAGCCTCCCTGGACCCCCAATGCCAGGAGAACCCCTAGTCGTGACAACCACAAACGCCCCCCAGACGTGGCCCCTGGGGCAGAGTCACCCCCGTTGAGACCCAGGGCTGTAGCGGAGCGAGGCTGGGGCTCTTCTCAGCGCCTGGAGAGACTGCGATGCTTGATGGATGGCGCTGCAGGGACGCCCTCCCCGCAGACTGGGGTCAGTGCGAGTGCCGACGACCCTGATGTTAAAAGGAAGCTTGGACAGCCAGCAAGTGGGGGTGTATGTGGCGTGCCACTTCTCTTGTCTTCCCTTCGGTGACACGCAGGACTCTGGTCAGTGCAGAGCCGCGGCTCTTACAGCCTTGGGCTGAGTCCTCAGGAGGAAGAGTTACGACTCCTGCAGGGACACACACCACCCATGACCTCCCCCTTTTTCTCCCCTTCTGGTCTCCCCGAGGCCCCGTTCTGTTGAGCACTAAATCCGTGCTGGTCTTCATGGGGAACTGAGACGGAGGGAGGGGTTGGAGGAGAACCGGCAGCACTGGCCGGGGCACACCCAGCACCCCTCTCTCCGTCTCAGTGGAGACAGCCAGATTTAGACCCCCGGCCCCTCTCGCTTGCTGTGGGCTCGGCGCTCCCGGAGGCCCTGCTGGGGGGTCCTTGCCGCCGCTCTCCCAGCCTGTGGCGCGGCCGGCCAGCGTGGTCCTTCCTTGACCTGGAGACACGACCCCGGCCTCTGCCCCTGTCAGACGGCTGTTTCCCTGTGTCGTGCCCTCATCTCCCTCTGCTTGTAGGGACAGCAGACGTGGCTTAGTGCCCACCCTCCTCCAGTGTGACCTCGTCTTAATTGCATCTGCAATGACCCTGTTTCTCAGCAGGGTTCCCTCACAGGGATCGAGGGTTAAGACTTGAACATGTCTTTCTGGGGGACGTGACTCAGCCCATAAAAGGGGGGTAGGAGGTGACTGCTGATGGGCACAGCATTTCTTGTGGGGCGAGGAGATGTCCTGGAATTAGAGAGTGGTGACGGTTACACACTCTGATCTGACTAAAAGCCGTTGGATTGTGTGCTTTGAAAGGATGGAATCTGTCGTATGTGAGTTGTGTCTCAATTGGTTTTTGTTTTTAAAAAAAACCATCATCAGGAAGGCTGGGACACACAGAACCCCTCCAGAGCACCTTGGTCTTCGTGTGTGTCCTGCAGGGCTGCGGGCTGCCTCCCCACCCAGGGAGCCGTTGCAGTATATAAAAATAAACATTTAGATGTTGAGAGACAGCCGTGGGGCACAACCACCTCTAACAGGACAGATCCTGGGCCTCGAGCATCTTCCAGCCAGACACTCAGGCTGCCAGGCCAGGGGCCCAGGTTTACACGCCGATCGATCCGGAACATGTAGGACCGACCTCAGAGGTTGGGGTCTGTCCCCAGAGAGTAAGTGTTGCAGCCCAGGCAGGATGTGGAGGCACCGGAAGGAAGTGGCGACTGGGCCAAGGTGCGGCGTGCCCCCCCCCCAAGGCAGTTGCTTACAGGAACTGTGTTTTGTTTTCAGAAAAAGAAGGGAGGGTGGGTGTGTGCTGGGGCAGGGGAGCTTTGTCATCTGAACTTCGGCCACTCTGGGAGTTTGAAGTGCCACACACATCTCATCCCCAGGAAGAACCTAGGGGAGGGAGCCCTTCGCGCTGGATTCCGAGAAGCCTGTGCTGGTTTTCCCCCGCGCCGTCCTTGGGGGTTTTCTAGGAAGAGCCAGGAGAAAGGAGCCCCAGAGACAGTACCTGGGGCAGCGTGGGGGCGTCTCCCGGTGCCTTGGCCTCCTGCGCGCTTCTCAGGAAAAGGCGCTTTCTGGCGGCTGGCCACCCCTCCACCATGGGAGTGTATTTCTAATAGAAAGCTGTTTGCTTTTGATGGGAACTCTGCCCATCCAGGAAGTGTTTCAGAAAATCATTGCTTCCACTTGAAAAAAAAGTCTACTTTCTGAGGCGAAAGAAAGGCAGGCAGGAACCTTACAGGCCCCTTCCACCGCCCCACCCCATCTTCCAGAACGATCTTGGCGTGGCGCTGGTGCAGGGCATGAAGGGCTGTAGGCAGACGTGGTCAGCGGGACCGTGGAGCCCCCACCCTCTCCTGTCGGGCAGGGCACGTGTCCCTAGGTGACGTCGTTGGGGATTAAACCCCCAAAACTGTCCCTGGAGAGGCCCCAAAAGAACCAGGAGGCAGCAGCCGGTCCGTGGTGGGCGGGCTGCGTTTCTCTGTGCGGTGTGATTTCCGCAGGGGCTGGCAGGCCAGCTGCAGGGCAGGTGAGGAGCCCGGATGGGCGGGCCACACAGAAGCGGCTCCAGGGTCTTTGCTTGCGGCTCCGCCTCGCTCTGGCTGGACGCAGGGTGCAGCGCCCCGCTCTGTCTTCTCCTTGCCAAAGTCAGGCCGCGCTCCGCTCCTGCAGAAGGGCGTGCAGGGCTGAAGTAAGTCGTACAGGAGACATTGCCTTCCCTGGCACCAGCAGGTGGCAGGCGCTGGAAGGGGCGACTCTCGTCTCTAGCAGGTGGGCTCCAGGTAACTGACCAGCGCCCGGGGTGGCCTGAGGGATGCTCGGCTTGCAGGTGAATCACCTGGGCAGGTTCAGGGCCCCTTGGGCCGCAGGGTCCCCGCCTGGCATGTGCAGCTCACATGCCCTCGGCACAGAGGGTCGGGGCGGGTTCAGGGCCCCTT